CGATTTCACACGAACTACCGACATACTAAATTAATAAAAGAACATGAAAAACGAAAGAGAAATCAAACCTGTGAGACTTAAAAGAAAGATTATTTCACATTAGATGAATGGAAAGAATAGATTATAGAATTACCTGAATAGAACCAATACAACACAACGAATTACTGTTGAAACCATCGTTTGCGTTAAAATTCGACAGAATGATAGTATCACCTATATTTATATCTAATGAATAGGTAATGCTTTTCGTATATGCCGGATTTGAAGAAGCCCATGACGTAGTCTTTCGTTTAATAGAAATTCGATATTACTTCAAAGCTTGCTTAAGCACTTAATTTTCTTCGAAAAATTAATTTTTTCTAGAAAACAAAATCGTGATAAAAGTAAAAATCGATTTCTGTTGGAATGCAAGCATTCAATATGCTGTTGTCACCATTTGAAAAATGAGTATTGTTATTGTCATTTATTGAATCACTAAGTAACAATGACTTAAAACAACTTCAAGGACAAATTTTGTTTTCAATTTATCTATTTTTATTATAAACACCTTACTGAAGTTTGCATCTTGCTCAAATTAAAGTCGCAGTCTGTAGTCAATCACATTTATTTGTACTTTATGCTGTGTCTTCGTTGCATCTCCAGAGCTTATATGTTCAATGTTCATCTCGAAATTTCATTTTTGACATAAACATGCCCAGTTTAAGAAGCGATCTTGTATGAAAATGGTGGCGTGATTATAAGTGCAGTAAAAGCTGGGATTGTTCTCGAGTAAATAAGGTATTTCAACAGTGAAACAGATTTTTTCGCTTTCTCTGTAAAACCTTTTTCTGGTAGCTTACTCCCTCCTGTGAAGAATTTTCAGCCATGGAATTATTCGAAAACGATCTCTCCAATAAAATTCCCACGCTCAACCGATTCAGTTATGTTCGACTTTAGATTACAGAATCATTTTTCCTTTAATCTTGCTATCATCATTCTTGTTGTTATCATTGACTATCAAACAAAGGAGAATTCAAGATCTGCGTTGATATGGATGCGCCAGCCATTATGAGTGAGGACTTTTCTATAGTTTTACATCTGCATGACAACCAGAATTCCTCTTCTGAAGCTTTTTGCTTTTCTTCTGTCTAGTTTCTTTGAGATTAGAGAGCTTTTGCTATCATCCTGAGACGTAAGCTAGTATTTTGAAGTTATTCCGAACGGCTGCCGTCATGATCACTTCACTAAATATGTAGCTGTCCGTTCTCCATATTTTGTGCAACAAATAAGCTTTCGCCTCCATATCTAGGTATTTATCGAAAGGTTAAGTGTTTGACGTAACATTCATCGACTCCCTTTTATACTTGCATCAACATTTCATAAGTATTTTTGTATAATTTAAACACAATTCATGGTGCTCGCTTACATCGTGTGTTGGGTACTTTTGAAAATCCTCTTTAAATATATTATGAATATGCCTATTTTCCATATTTACATGAAATCAAAATAATCAATTTTTTTTTTTGGTTTAGAGTTCTGGATAAGAGTGAAACTTTATCTGATCAGATTTGTTTTAGGCGATTTCTGAACTGAGAAAAGCGAGATTTAGTGCCGTAAACTAACAGTGTTTGGCATATTCTAACCTCGTCTGTAGTTCAATGATCATAAAAAATGAATCGAAGGAAATTTCAAAATTCTGTCTGATGAAAAACTGTGCATCAGTATTGACTTTAATTGAAATTTAGCCTGAGGTCTGTGTACCTCTTGTTCCAACGAAGTTAGAACAATTCTCCTGAAGGTCAAAAATGGTCTATATATAAGTGGAAAATCCAATGTAGATTAACATATCGCACGAAAATTTTTACAAGAAGCGTTTCTCACTACCATTACTCATTCATGAAAATTTCGGCTCAAATGCATCATCCTCAGTGGTAAACCCATTGTGAGAGGAAACACCTTCAAAATAATCGCATGTTATCTTGACAAAATGATTAACTGAATATTATGTTTAGATGTAGAATGATATCTATTAAAACGACAGGGTCTAAGGTTGAAAGTGAAGAAAAGGTTCACATCTACTTATACATTACCAATAAATGTTTTCGACAACGTTATTGAATTTTATTTTAATATCACATTCAGATGTTCTAACTCGAATGGATTCAATTATAGATGATATTTCATTTGAATAAATTGTGCTAATATTAATGCTTTGTTTAATAGATTTCCTATTAGTATTGCTCTTTTTGCCTGCTTAAATTTCAGTTGCTTATCGTTTCGGTTCTTATTTTCACTATTTCATTGCATCTATGTGGAATGAAATCCTACTTCATGTTGACTTGTTTAACACGTCAACAGAAAACAAATCATAAAGGTTTTTTTTCCAACTTCGAAAGAAAAAAGAAACTAAAGTAAATATTGATCATTCATCACACACCATACTTTAAATTCTTTTTGCTTTGATGATAAGAATTCAGAAAAAGGAATACAATGTGCAATATTGACAGAATAGATGTAAAGTAACCAGTATATTTAATGTATCGAAAAGTATTCTTTCAGTTATAAACTGTTCAAATAGCATCTGTTCGTCGGGAAAAAAAGCTGTCCTGACCGCTAATCTCTCTGCTAAACAAAGCTTTGGACACTTCATTAATTTCAATACTAAAAACAGTAAGTGAAGAAAAAAGACGTGGAACTAATCAAAATCATATCATATAAAGTAAAGTAAAACAAAAAAGTCCAAGAATTTTAAAAAAATGTGTTTCTTTAGTTATGCTTGATAATATGTTTTCATATCTTTAAAAAAAGGAAATATATTAACGAGGATATTAATAAACTTCATTCTTAAATCCAGAAGATAAAAATACGTTAGTAATTTTATATGGGCTCTTTTATCCGTAGTTTTATAATCGCCAAAGGAAAGGCTACAAAACTATATCAAGACGCTGTTCCTAATTACTATCAATATGATATCCAAATCATCGGAACACAATTTACCATCTCATTTTTTTCAACAAATAATTCGAAAAATGTAAATTTTTGTACTATTTTGATGGAAAAGTCACTTTTTTAACGTAGGAGAAAAAAATCAATTCTTTGAAAACTTTTGACTAAACCTATAGGAAAGTAGTTAGAAAAATCCTTCTATCTATAATTCGATGCGTCTTCATCTGCTCTTTCTAGCAGTGAAAACCGAAGATCTCTATCTCGTTCCTATTAAAAGTTATTCAAAAAATGTCCACGGCCATTTAACTCTGAAATGGATATTAGAAAAGCATCTCATTTCACTTCATGTATCTATGAGAAAAGACTTGCAAATAATGTTGAGTAGAAGAAAAAAAATAAATTACTTGCTTTCTTACAAGGATAATTTTATACACGATTTAGTTTTCCTTGAACATATATTTGATGAAAAAAAAGACAGAAACATGTACAAACCCACCCACACCTACATCCCTTCTCATGTGCATACTACACAGTCGGTGTCAGAATGTCCTAAATGAATTGAATCGACAAATGAGTTCCGAAGGCAACAAAACCATTGTTTTTCGACCCTTCTATTTTCCTTCACTCCTTTCAAGAGCTCCTCTTTTGCTTTCTGTGTTACGCTGTATTTCAACGTATGAAACAACGAGAGAGTGTGGGTATGTGTGTATGTGGTGAGAAGACAAACACGCACACGCAAATCCAAACTCATATCCACGCCCACCCACCAATGACAACAAAACTTCATGAACGAAATAGAAATGATTTTTCATAGCTCAATGAAACAAGCTAATGCCTATTGTCATTTAAAAAAAAATTGTTATATGCCTGCATTCAAATTGGATTTCAACATTGACATCCAACAATTTAGACATTCGGGTAACTTTTATCGAATACAACCAATATTTTCACTTTGGTCGTAGCACGAAAAGTTGCAGCATCATTTCTCATCGTTCGAAGAAGCTTGCTCGTATTGAACATGAGTCTTGAAGTCGTCATAACATTGATCTGTACTTTTTTCAGACGAGAAGTTAACGTTTGCTATGCATAGTGTCTCTCATCGCCGGTAACAACATATTGAATTCAAATGAGATGAATTTTTGGGCAAATTGTTGTTCTGTCTTTTAATTATTTCTCGTCACATGAAAGTTTATCGTCTTTGTTGTCACTCGCTTCTCGTTCAGCCTTTCACGACAAGCAATTCGATGAATCGAAACCGCATTATAATATGACTGACTGCAAACTTTGACAGTAGGAATGGTACGTCTTGTAATAGCTGATAAGAAAAAGTCACAAATATCCTTTCTGATCTTGGAAAGCAACTTGTTCATGCAAAGAAGTCACTACTGGATATTAGTTTTAAGAAGAAATCAAATGACAACTGAATAGATCTAACGCGGACTAAAACCAGGAATAGAGTCTATCATAAATACAGACGCACGATCGACTGATCGGATCAGCACTCAAATGCCGGATTCCGAAGGCGAAGAAGGATGAGAAGTTACATACAGTTACCTGAAAATTAGATACAAGGCTATTTCAGTAATGTGTAATCATAAAATTGACCTTCGTTGTCATGCTCTGACCTCCAAGCGAGTCCTTGTCTTACAAAACACACATTGCAACTTTTCCCTGAGATTCCTCAACCAATCGACTGCTCATTGGTGGACATTTGATATACCATGTTGTTTGAGTTTCTCGGCTTCAAAGATATGATCAAACTGACAATACTGGTGATTGATCACGGTTCGAACTATGAACCGTTTTTCTCTTGCTCTCTTCCTTTTATTTTGCCTCATGCATTCACACCATCTGGAAGCCAAGCAGGCTCGTACATCTCGCAACCTGCACATATAGACAAAAAGAACATGCTTAACACTGATTGATTCAATGTCAAGTCAAGTGAAGTACTACTCAATGATGAGCTAGGACAATGGATAAGTATTAATCAATTTTGAACTTAATAAAAAAAATTGACAATAATTCTAAAATTTTATTGAATCACTAAAAAAAGAATTCCATAGGCAATATAATGTTTATGCTTTCGTGAATTTTCCTTCTTCCAAATGGTATAGTTGAGCTTGTGTTTGAGATCCTTGAAGGCCCAACGTTTGTGTTATAACACCTACACGTTGATGTCGTCTACAATGCATTAAATTCAAAAATTCTTCCCGAAATAGTCGACTTGATAAACAGTGAATATAGAATGAAGCCTAACAAAGTATAAGATGAGAAAAGAGATTCGAAAATTAATATTCAACTTACAGCATAATTGATAGAAGCAACGAATGTGACAATTGTATTAAGCTGAAGTATCTGTTGTATTGGAAATAAAAATCGAAGAACAGAAAAGATAAGAACAGAGAAGAGACTTAATGGGATTTGTGTGGCAAAGAAGAGAAAGATACTAGTGAGCATAATTATTAACATTTGTCCATCGAGAAAAGTACGACGACGACTTTGTGTCAATTGTCGTTTCTGTTTTTGTTGACGACGAAGCTCAATGAATATTTTAATACTAAAGATGAGAAGAAATGTTGTTGGTAAGAGTATTTGAAGACTGGTTATTAGAAAAGGCCAGATCTGAAAATAATTGATAAATGTGTTGTTAATTACGGAAATGTCAAATAAAGAAACATACTGTACTATAAAAGTAAAGGTAGGTGGAATTTGACATTGGATTAGGAGCACATGCGATACCACCAGGTACAACGCCCAGTGATGGTAGCAATAAATGGGAATTGAGTACGATTGAACATATGAGGATAATGAATGCACCAATAAGCACTCTTCTTGTCGTACACAATTCTTTGACTCTAAAAGGAAATTGAACACGAAGCCAACGATCGATTGTAATGGTTAATAGAAGCCAAGCTGAACAACACATAGAAAAATATTGAACAAATGAACGAAAACGACACAATGCATTCATCAAATTGATATTTGTTGTGGGAACACCAAGGCCAAGAAAGATAAAATCATAGATACACATTAACAAATAGATTGTATCGGACCCAGCCATACATACGAATAGACAACTCGTCGAAACGGTACGAAGGGTTCGACGAAGAAAGATGGTAGCACTTGTTCCGTGACCGAAAAACCCAAAGAGGAAAAGAAGAATGTAACCGTAGAAAACCAAGTTTCTTTGGATTGATGAAATTGGAATTGGACCAAAGTCCAGCGGAGGGCCCATTCCACCGCCACCATCTGGAGGATCCATTCCACCGCCACCATCTGGAGGACCTATTCCACCTCCACTAACAGGAGGAAAGTTGTCGTTGTTGTTACTGTTATTGCTATTCATCTATGCTTGTAGATGCGTTATAAATATGAAAATAACAGAGAGTATTTCATATATATATGTGACTATTCGCTGTCAAAGAGCGGCTGTAGGCAGATAAGTCTTTGTCGGATCAATGTCCTGGTTATACAGACGTACATGAGTTTCTTTTTAATATTAATATCAAAAGTCGATTATCAATCTTTTTTGTGCGTCAAGTATCAAATCCTGTGTTGTGTTGGGAGTGACAAAGATTACATCATGTACATATACTAATTTGAAACATTCGTTTCATATATACTGCAAGCGTGTTGGAAACTAAGTTGAGATTGAAAAAGCGTTTTTTAAAATTTCTCATTAGAAACATCGTTCCAATATAAAATTAGAAACATGGTTATTATAGTGTGTATTTGTTTTTTTTTCTTTAGAATGAGTGTAAATTTTCATCATAATTGTTCTAATAATGGGGTCATAGGAACATTGAATAATTAATGAAATTTCAAATAAAAATTTATCATATTTTTTAGACGAGCACGAGTGTGAGGCGGGCGATTATTAGACGCAAATGTGTAGTGTATCAGGTATCTGTTTTATAATTATGATATTAAAGTGTAATAAACTGCAGTAAGCATTAATGATATTGAAAGCTAAAATCGTTGTTTAAACACTATAATCGATGGTATATGATGTTTAAGTATTCTGGTGAATGTTCAGCTGGACTTTTCGATACGACAATAAAAAAAGTCTCGAGCAATGATTATAGGTTTTTTTTTATTTAGGGAGTTAGATATACGTTAATTTTGCGAATTCTTATCTAAATCAATCACTTTATCTAACTTGTAAAACTTTATTCCTATTATAAATTTTTTTTAAATTTTTTTACGCCTACCAAATCTAACTAAATTTATATAATTAAGAAATAGAATCCTATTAGTTTCTTTTTAATTAAATGACGCACTTCAATCTCAACTGAAATTCCTGTGTCAACTGTGACATATATTGATTAAAAAAACTAATTACCTATTGGCTAATAATAATCAAAAGTATATGAGCTACGCAACTTCTTTTTCTTCTAGAACTTGCTTCTCATTCTTTCCTGCCATATCAGTCTCCTTTTTCTGCGATTCAAGTATATTTAACTGAAGACTTTTAAAAGAGGATGATTTACTCGAGGAAAACATACTCTGTTCATCGAGAAGAATACATCGCTCCATTTGTCTTGTCAAGGTGCATCGACTCATGCTTTTTCAAAATATCGTTGCTCGCAGTTTTTGGATAACAAAAAAGTAAAATTCGTGACAGAATTATCTTCTGTTCGTAACTCTACGAATGAGTGACACCAGTACATAGATGTTCAGAAATAAATGACACTCTAAGCGAAAAACTTTACTCAATATAATTCTTATATAACAATAAAGAGCCGGTCATGGACTACACAGCTATATAAAGATCATAATAAACGAACTTTGTTTCGAATTCTTTCTACTCTTAATGACTCTGGCAGATATTTTGGTAATATATAGTCACTAACCTTGTATGTTTGGTCAGCGAAATTATACAAGAAAGCATCGAACACTGATAGTCACGTTATGCGGGTTTGGGTTGAGAGAATAACTACATTCACACACACTCAGCTTGATCCATTATCAAAGAATAACAAGTCATAGAATCAACGACACAATTTTGAGCTCGATGAAACAAAACATTTGTTGCAGAAAAGATGCTTTCTTTCTTCTATACTTCACTGTTGAAAACATAGAAACCGATTTTGCCCAAACTCATGTTTCATTTCCTTTTTTTTTTTAAGAACATCTTTCCATCTTACTCAATCACGGAAATTTTCCCTTGTTGCACACGGAGTTTTTGTCTCTAGACTTATATTCAATGTTTTTTTTATCTAACACTATCAACAGGAGCAGTTTGGATTGCTGATTGGATTCTGAATAAACCATCAAGTTAGAAAGGTCAGGTTGATACAATGAGTTATATATTTCACATCTTGTCTTTGAGCGATCTCTAATCCTTTCAATCTTTGCTGTGAGCAAAAATTTTTCACAGGTTTCTCCCTATTACTTTTTTGACTATGTAATCTACAGACGGAATCCAATGGCAAAAATCGCTGAACTAATAGATGAAACGAAAGATGTTGTGTATGTCAATCAGTTATAGAACTTGAATGAAAATCAAAATTAAGAATTATAAGTAATGCAGTGTTTTATAAATATGGATTAGACATTCATTTTTTATATCTGTTTTTGGTTTTGACAATTTCGAACATGCAAACCAGTAGCTAGTTGTGATGTATCTAATGAAAATATGTTTGTTCAACAAAATGAAATTACAGAAACAATACCATATTGCTTTGTCATCACAACTATATCTTATTATGGTATTCAAGTAACAGTGAAATGCGTCTTTTTTTCCTAGTGAGCTCGATGATTACAAATATGTAATAATAGAAGTGGATATAGAGTTAGTAAAAAGGAGATTCTAAGGTACGTAGACATTCACATTCACTTTAGAATAAACGATTCATTTAATCAATCAAATAACTTTTTGAAAGAAAAGAAAGACAAAATTAATCATCGTTGTGATTTTATTTAATAGAAAATCCTTGGACACGATTATTTCCACAATCAACGACATAGAGATTACCATGTTGATCGCAGAAAAAGCCCTTCGGATTAGCCAACTGATTTGCTCCTGATCCATAACCATTTCCACCCACAATAATCTGACCCTCTATCGCTCCTTTAGACCAGCGCATCACTCGATGGTTTCCTGTATCTGCCACATAAATAGTCCCCAATGTATCGACGTACAACCCATGAGGGCTACATAGTTGTCTCAGAGCGTTACCATCACCTTGACCTCCAGCAAGGACAATCCCTTCTTCTGCACCTTTATTCCATTTCATCACACGATGATTGTTGTTGTCTGACACGTAGACAGCCTGTTGTTGATCAACAAAGAGGTAAGTAGGAAAATTGGTTTGATTGAGAGCAGCACCCTGGCCATGACCACCAGCCACGACAGTTCCATTCTTGTCTCCTATTTGATATCGTCGTACTTCATGTTTATCAGTATCAGAGATATAGAGATATTTCTGATCATCCATAGTCAATGCTGCGCACATAATATTGTCAAGGAGAATTTCTCCTTGGATGGTACCACTATGATGAGACCATCGTACGACTCGTCTATTTCCCCAATCACAAATAATGAGACTATTAGTATTTCTGTCGATCAACACATCAGTTGGACAATTCAATTGATCTAATCGATTTCCTTGGCCATGGCCACCAGCTACTACTTGTCCATTGGTATCGCCTATCTTCCATTGGACGACACGATGATTCCAGGAATCAGCAATGACTATCGTTTGATTATCATCAACGAAGAGACCATGTGGGTCCCGGAGTTGATTGGTGGCCTCGCCTGCTCCAAGGCCTCCAGCAATAGTCACCCCATTCTGCGCCCATCGAATGTCAACTAGAATATTCAGAATCACTGTAATGAACAAGAAAAAGAAAAAGAAGCGTTAACGTCGTTGTTGCAGAGACCTGTCTGTCTCGCGAGAGACCTCGGTAAAACTTTCGAGAATGTTCTTTCTGCAGAAAAAACTTAGAAACTTTTCTTAGTTTTCTATAAGAAAAGGACTTCGCAATGATAACTATATCGATGTCACTTCCTCTAATTTAAACTCTGTTTGTTCCTTGAAAAACTCGGACAGAATCGATGACAATTTATGTTTGGAGTGACTTATTTAAGCACATACAAAGATTTTCAAAATCATAAACAGTAGAGTGTGAATGTGAAAATCAACAGAAGACCAACACTTCTATATCTTTACCGACATCCGTATCCTCCGAATAGATCTCAGAAGTCTTTTACACATTACAGTTAGATAAAATTTCAGAAAAATTGTGAGTTCGCAAAAAAAGTGTCTCTTTTTCGACAGTCAAAAATCTTTCGGAGTTTACAGCGATTTTATTAGCTGAAAAACTGTAAGAGTGTTGCAACGTTACGGATATTGATTTTCAACTTGAAAAAAATTCTCAGCAGATTTTTGCGAGATCATTGCAGAAGTTCTATTTTCTGAATTTGTTACAATACGAATTATTTTTCACAGTTAAAGAACTTACGGAACTCAGGCAGTTCAAGAAAGTACTGAAAATCAAAGAGCTCAAGAATCGAAGGATTAGAATAAGCGCATAGATGAAAAGCCGAAAGTGACGACCAAGAGAATTCTTTAAATCCGACATGACAAGAATAGACTTGAAATCATCCAAGACGATCTCTCTCGACAAAACTCAGGTCTGAATCAATAAATGTTTTGACGAGAGACATGGTTTTTTTGAGGTAATGCAATATCGGATTCAACTGTTTCTGGTAGGGTCCACAAGCTAGATCAAATCACTTGAGGATGTTAAAACGGTTATATTCTATTGAATCTTTTTGGTGAATGAAATTTAATTAATTAGAAAAAGTGTCATTCAAAAATAAGAGAAAGTTCTTTCATATTAGTCGAATGATCGTTATCAGAATGTTCTCCTAGATGATAGCATAGATGTTGCATCGATAAATATTTTCATCAAATTATTTAATTTTATTCTTTATTATATATACACTAATCAGTATCTAGAAACTTTTTGGTTATTTTACGTATACATATCGTACAAAACGTTATCTCATAGAGAAAAAGTATAAATAGCTTACTCAATGTATTTATATATGATGGTTTTGCAGTCGTATGCATTTCATTGATAGTCGATGCTAATGTTTGATCATTGTTGTCATCAATTTCAATTAAATGTACGACATGTGAGCCATGCAAACAATCTAAAGGATTGCTCTTCACACGAAATTGTGAACCCATTCGTAAGATAATTTCATCTTCATTTTCATATTCTGTATATCCAGAAATTTTTTTTCCATTAACAGCTTCAATCAGAAAAAGTGTTGAATTTTTGTCATTACTAAGAAAATTTTTAATAACATTGACGGATGACGAACATGAATTA